AAAAAAAAAAAAAAAAAAAAAAAAAAAAAAAAAAAAAAAAAAAAAAAAATACGATAATATCAGGTAGTGAAGTTAGCTGCTTTGATGAGAACGTGATTTTTGACAACAATTGTCATGGAAATCGCCAACATTTACCAACTACGCACTTGGTTAACACGTGGTATGGGCGTAATAGGAGAACCTAGCAGATGTATACAGATTGAAAAAAAATAAAAAATAATTATCTAGTTTCCCAGCACTCAACGAAGAGAGGAAAATTAAGTGTCCGATTATCATACACCCATATTTTCCCCGCGCGCGAAAGATCGACAAGAAAAAAAAAAAAAAAAAAAACAAGCAAGCGTTTATTGTAATTTTTTTTGACGTTTGGAAAAAAAAAAGAGTGTGGTGTTTGAAACGTCATAAAACGTACTTAAACGCTCTATCGTCGAATCTGCGCGTGTAAAATTATACAGAAAAGAGAGGGGAAAAAAAAAAAAATAGTGGACAGGTGAGTCCTGCGTCTAAAAATAGCTTCTTCTTCTTCTGCGTCCCGCATATAAACAGGTATACGCGTAGCAGCCAGAAAAAAACGTAAACAATCCTCGTGTTTTGCTTCCTCTCTCAGTCTCCCCCACATGCTCTCCCCGAATCATATATATACTGCGCATTTAAAAACGAGGCTGCAGCTGCGTCCCACCATACCACCATGGCATGAAACAAAAAGAAAGGAAAATTTTTGGTGGGGAAGCGAGCGGTATTAATATTTGGGAGTTTCCGAGATCGAGGGGATCGGTCAACAGGAGAGAAAACACCATATTACATGGAAAAAGGGGGCGAGACGGATCGGAATTTTCGCTCGGCGTCGATTTTAGGGCGCCACGCAAAGGACCCTCTTGGGTTTGTTTATTTCGCTACCGATGCATCAGGCTTGCTCCTATATATACTGCCATGCAATTACGAGTGTGACCATCGGCGTTATAAGTATACAGTGCATGAGCACCCCCCCCCCCCAATAGGATGTACCTATATCTTTTGCATCTCGTGAGCCCTTCGTGCGCGCGCACACGATTTACGAGCATATGTATTTTACCAAGGGCAAAAGGGTTACGCATAATATTTCTTCCCTCATAGTGTATAGGAGATATTCCAAAAAAAAAACCATTTGCCAACGTGAGAGATAAGCGAGACGTGTGTATACTTTGCAGCAGTTCCGGAAAAGATTAGCCAATTTTTCCAATTCGATGACAATGTGTTTTATTCATTTTTCTCAATTATATGTACACGTTATGCAAGTTTACAAGATACCTATGCCAAGATGTTTTTCGTGGACTTGACGTTTGTCGTGTTTCTCGTGAAAAAGGGAAACGAAAAACTTTCTTCGTAGCGCAGTTCATCTCACAATTACGGTAGGAGATTATCAATGACGCGCGACCGAAAGTATCGCGACTCAATGGATTCACTCCGAGATGATATATTATATATTTATTTATGCAAATAACTTTGTGTGTTGGGCGCTTCAGCGAAAAACCGGCCGATTCGGGACTAGTGAAACGAAGGAAAGCAGAGGCACGCTTGTATATACAAACACAACTTTGGGATGACTCTTGTTTTCTGGCTATACATTGTTTTTCCTCTCCTCCCCCCCATCTGTCTTCCAAGACGTCACGTCGCTGATGACTGGCTACGTTGTGTACACTATTTACTCAAAACACGTCATTTTACCGCTACTTGCTGTACAAAATAGAAAAAAAAAAAAAAAAAAAAAAAAAAAAAAAAAAAAAAAAAAAAAAAAAAAAAAAAA